CCCCCCCCCCGTCTCTTGACTGCCCCATCCAAAACCTCCCTGCCCCTTCTCCGACCCCCTGGCCCCCTTGTTGTTGGCCTTTGCCTAATGTCTCTGTGAACTTGCTCAGGAACGGCTGGAGCCGTTCGTCCCGGCAGGCTGGCTGGCGGGGGAGGAGCTCCAGACTGCCGGAGGCGATCTGCGATTGCAGGGAGGGAGTGATCTCTGCTGTAGGGGAAGCGGAGGAGGGGCTCTCTCTGGCTGTCAGAGCCCCATGTAAGTGGCACCATCCGGCCGGCTGCCCTGTTAGCCGCGCGCGCTCTGCATGAGGAGGAGGGGAAGTCCGGACATTTACAAATTCCCCCCGGACGCTATTTTTAGCTCAAAAATCCGGACATGTCCGGGGGAATCCGGACGAATGGTAACCCTATTGTTGGCTGGCTGCGAGCTTAGCCTATGATGCTGGAAGCCTCTAGCAGGGTTGACCAGAAATATTGTGCCAGCTCCAAAAGAGTCTGATGGTGGACGCTATGATTAGTTAGGCTGAAAATAGCAGACTGACAGGCTGGGGCTGCCATACCATGGATTCAATCTATACGTGTTTGTATGGCTCTCATCACGGTAGAGTCTAATTCCCGATGCTACAGTGCCCAGGAAAGAGAGGACTGTCGGGCTTGTAGCGGTTGCTCCTACATTGTCAACTCTGCTATTAAGTATCAGTTTGAGCTTTGTTTCAATGGTGGGGCAAATCCTTTGTGTTGCAAGCTGTGACCTGCAAAGGGGGCGGACTTGGCCAGAGGTGTTAGGGCATCATCTGATGTCCACTAGGCAAGCAGGGCCAAACCTTCCACTGATGTAAATAGGTATTGGTCCAATGGCTTCACTGATGTAAATAGTGTTGCTCCATTGGCGCAATGCCAGTTTACACCAACTGAGGATCTGCCACTAATTCCATACTTTAATGGTTTTCAGGGGAACCATGGATGAATGGAGTGTGCATCTTCCATTGCAATAGGCGTGGAGGTTGCAGGTCGTGCCAGAGGCACTGAGCTTCCAGTGATTTTTCACGGCCACATTTATTGCAAATAAATAAATAAATAATATGCCTGTTAGGCCAGTTTTTAAATTCAGTCCTTTAAACCAGTGCAGTTGTGTTGCAGTGATGGTTCTGTCAACAGAAGATGTCCGTGTACATAAAGGAGGAATAAAACACTTCCAAGTTGGAACGTTTTGCTGTTCCTAAACTATGCTACTTCATGACCATGCCCCTGCAGGTTCTCCACTGCCACACGCCGCCTGCTCTGTCTCATGGTAACAGGGCCCATTTCAAAGCAGTTGGGCCTTCAATAGAAAGGATGGTCCAGTGGTTTAAGTATTAGTCTTGAATTTGGGAGTCCCATGTTCAATTCCTGGTTTTGCCACAGACTTCCAAGAAGACTCAGGGAAAGTCCCTTAAGGTCTGTCTGCCCTGCAATAAAAAACCCACCGAGTCTGAGCCTGGGTCAGCTGACTTGGGCTTACAGGGCTCGAGCTGCAGGGCTAAAAATAGCAGTGTAGATATTCGGGCTCAGGTAGGAATCTGGGCTTGGTGACCCACCTCCCTGGTGTGGGGTCTTAGAGCCTGGGCTCTAGCCTAAATGTCTACACTGCAATTTTAGAACCCCAAGCCCCAGTCATCTGCCACCGGCCAGATCCAGCTGTAATGCGGGTCTTTTATTGTTGTGTCTCTGTGCCTCAGTTTCCCATCTGTACAATGGGGATAATAGCCATGCCTTCCCTTGTAATGGGGGCCACATGAGTACCAAGAGAGATGGAAATGTGGGCATGTTCATTTGTTCTACCTGTCCAGAACGAAGTGTGTGAATTACCTTGCTGTCTCTCACTTCCCCTGTTGATCTGAGCAGTCTTGTCAATCAGCCGTCTCCCCCATAATGGGGCTTGTGCTAGGGGATCTTATGGCTCCTGATTAACATGTAGATTGATGAAGTTGGGTCAGTCTTTGGGCATCAGCAAGGTGCCTGCTGCTCAGAATTCTTTCACCCTTCAAGGGGTTTACAGTTCAGATCTTTTCTTTGCCAGTATTTTCCCCAGACTTCCTGATCTTCCACGTTAGCCTTTTAACAGCTAATATTATTCCAGTGAGCTTATCTGGGCAGCAGGAGGGAGCCGCTCTCTGGTCTGAGTTCATACAGCACCTAGCCCAATGGGGTCCTGGTCCTTGGCTGGGAGCCTGGGCACTACCGCAATACAAATTCATAACAATACTAATGTGATTTCCCGATATTTCCGTTCCTTGGTCATTGCATCAAATGTACTTCTAATCAAAAGGACCAGAGTTAGATATCAAGCATCTTAAATCCTAGCACCAGTATTTTCATTTGGTTCCTTTCCAAGGAGGGAACAAAATAGTGGTTTGGAGCCAGGATTTTATGAATTTAAAACCATAGTCCAGACACCGCCTTTCAAACAAAGCCGAAATGCATGAAAGGGAAAGATCACCCCTGTGCAAATGAAAGGGTGTATTTTTGATATGTCACGCAACACTTTGTCCATGTAGCTAGCAGTTTGGATTTTAACAGGTGGGTGGTTCTTTAATAAGGGAAATTCACCAGCTTGGTGGTTTGAGGTTTGAAAACCTTGAATTGGCAGGCCCCTTTGGAACTAACAGAGCCCGACGGTTCTGGGAAGCGTTTGTTTGCTTTTCATAAAGTGCATCAAATTCTTGTAACTTGTGCAACTGGGGAGATTGTGCTGCCAACCCAGCCTTTAGGAGTTCTGAATATTTCTGGAACTGA